CTACATGAACACCTCACTACTCCATGATGCTTTCATAAGCAGTTAAATTTCCTGTGCTGTAGAGGAAAGGGGATGGAAATATAGCCCTGCTGGCGTAGAAACCACCTGGGGAAAAACTTCTATGGTATAATATGGATCCAATGTCAATGCTATTCCCCCGTGTGAACAATGGTACTCATGTTACTGAAACGTTCACGCGTAGGTGCATGCAAGTTGGGAGCCATGGTTGGCATATTGGTAACATCCCTGAAAGTATGGTCTAGAAAAGATACTTTAGCAAAGTATTTCTCCAACTGTTTAATCCAGACATATGCTTTGCAAAGCTTTATACTGGGGCTTTCTAATCAGGTTGAAGTGTTTTAAATTATTAAAATGGCTGCCAGTGTCCTTCCAGATATTAGTTTAGCACATTTTCACTTTACTTTCAGACCGGTTTCAATTTGGGAATTTTCAAAAGTAGGGCTCTATTTTCACGAAAGAATGCCGGCTTTGCTGTACTGTCACAATGATACGGAGAGCCTGCTTTGACCATCAATCTGTAAATCGCTTTAATTAAAGTGAGAAGAGGGAAATCAAAAAGAAAAACCACGAACAAAACTTGAGTATAAATTCTGCGCTCAGCCAACTGGAAGTCTGTTGAAAGGAGTGTCCATGAACCATTATGCTGGTTGAAGCCTTAGAGACAAACAAGTCAGCTATGCAGAGAGATCAGCAGATATGTAGCTAATTATATAGATTTTTAAAGTGTTTTTACTGGTGCTTCTAATAATAACCTTGATTACTAAAACTGAAGGGATTTTTAGAGTATAATTTCCTTTTCTTCTAATTAAATCTCTTGATTGACTTTTCTGCTCAGAATTAATGACAGACAGAAACCTGCCTGGGCAGTGTGTATTTCTGTTTACATTCATTTTTGCTATGTGGTTTTCATTTGGGAACAGCCTGGTGTGTTTGAATTATCAACAGGGCAGTCAGGGAATATGCCTTCTCTCTCTTTTGCTCTGACTAAAAAAAAGTACAAGAATTCTATCAATCATTGCTGGAATTCAGAAGAAAATTAGCTTGGCTTTAGCACTTCTCTAGACTAGGATAAAAATTGTTTTAAAACGTCTGTCCTTTTTATGGGAGAAGTGTACTTGCAGTCAGTTAGCTGCCTTCCTGGTAGATACCCAGTCAAGAGGGGACAGAAGTGAAAAGGAGATGGGCATTCAGATGGTCAGGTACCAGGGGATTTTAGGCTGAACTCAGTGGCTTTACTAAGTGTGCATAGACTAGGCTTTACAAATCAGTCTTTCCAGGCAAATGACACATAGGGACATCCATTTCTGGATCCCAAATGACTCTAGGTAGGAGTCTAGAACAAAGATAATCAGCTCAGTCAAGAATGTGCTCTCCAAGACATTGCCCAGTAAATTAAATTTAGATGGGCAAGGTAGAAGGTGCCTAGGAAAGCAAAGAGTTTTCAGCTGATTTCCTAAACATAGGTGCCTCTTTCCAGTTCAGCTGCACTTTCGGGAGAAGATTAATCTCACCTAATATTAGAGGGCAATTCATCCTACCCCAGGGAGGGAGGATGAGATAAGTAGCATGAACTTCCCTCCAGCAGTGCCTCTCTCTTTTCATTGCTTTAAAGGAGGAAGGCAGGCAGCTCACACTGACCAGGAACTGCGTTCATATCACCTACCTTCTGATGTCTGCAACATGGACATCTCTAGCTGATCTGCTCACCCCAGCCTGCTTTTGTAATCATTCAGTGGAGTGAAACAGGCACTTCTAGGGCACGATTCATCTGCCCATTTTAGATGTCTGCGTTGGGATGACGTGAATCATGGCCTTGCCTGCATTGACTGTATTGGCTAGACTATCAAGACAGCCTGGGTGACTGGTTGAGTGGGATATGTCTGCACTGTAAAAATCTCCAGATGAATCATGCCATGATACCTAAAAATTGGGATGGCTAAGTTCCTTGAAAAAGTCCCACCCAAGAAAGCTAAGTACTGTGTTGAGGCCCATGCAAAGAGCTCAGCTGTAGGAAGGAGGCAAGTTCCTGCAGGACCCTGCAGGAACCCACAGGAGAAGACCAAAGAAAGGACCCAGTTAACTTGTTTTCCCTATCTAAGTGGCTTGATGTGGGTTTTCTTGAGCTTTAGATTAATTCAGGGAACAACTAGTGGCAGAAAAGCACCTGTGAAATGGAGCCCATGCCAAGCCAAAGGGTGTTTTAACTTTGACTACACTGTGTACATTTTTGTTTCATTGTTAAGTTATATACAAAACACTGGATCACAGTTTCTGGAGTAAAGACACCTTCTAAAACACTGTTTCAGGCTTCAGAGGACTTGTTGAGTGTGTGGCCTCTGTGGCCTTGTTGGGAATGCAGAGTCTTAGGGTGCCACATCTCCAAATCTCAATCTGTTGAACCCCCTGAGGACTGGGAGTTAGGAGGTATTCACAGATGCCAGCTTTAGGCTCAGGAGCTAGATGGTCCTATTGCTGTAAACAATGGGGAGAGATAGATGCCTTCATCGAAGCCACCAGAGAAGAACACTAATTTAGTTGCTCTGACGCATCCTTCAGAGAATAGTTCAGCCACTGACTATACGGGGAGTCCAGGATGCGGACACTTTCCAGTGTCTAAAGTTAACTTTAGTGGAAACATCTGTAGAGTTTGTTCCCACATCAACTAGAGTCACCAGCAAAGCTTTCAAAAGTGCCCTATCCGATTCCCACCAAAGATAAAGTATCCACTGAGATAGAATCAACCTGCTGCAGGCTCCATCCATCATGTTGTGAAGCCAGGAGGACTTTCTTGAACTATTTCAATAGGACCTGGATGAAGTTTTAGGATCCCAATCTCATAAACTTTAGTTATGTGAACAGCCAAACTCTAGCCTGTCTCTGGTTTTTGGTGGTTACTGCAGTGGTAGAATGAAAATACCAGTCATAGGAAGAGGAGTTTATAGGTTGGTGCCCTCAACTATTTGTTTCCGTTGCTGGGAAGATCATCTAAGATAAAAAAAATAAAAACATGTAGAAATACTTTTAATTGCTTTTCACACTGCTCACTTCTCAATACAGTAGGGAAACAGTCACACCTTGCTTTGATCTATGTTACAGTCTGGAAAGTTTAATCTGCAAAAGACAATCTCCAGCAAGAGTCTTGTTCTCAAGGCGTCATCAGGCACTGAGACAGTGTAATGCAAATTTGGCATTTCATGGAGGAGTGTGTAGTCACTTGACTTTCAGCTGAAGATACAGGGTGGAATCTCAAAACATCTTTCCATGAACAGTGCCTCTGCTGTTAAACACAGCTAAGCACAGTCCTCTTCCTAGCTCACTTGCAGACTCTGGAGTGTGATAATGTCTATCAGAGCACCCTCTTTTGGCCTCTACTTTGCTTCCAGCTTCCAGGTGTAAACACTTTCTCTCTCTCTCTCAAGTCAATTTATCTTTAAGAGAACTAAGTTCTTTGGGCTTCCTGTAATTTTTATTGATCATGAGGTATGAATCTTATCAACCTTCCAACCCTCCTCTCCCCCCAAAAAAACAACAACAACCAAACAACCAAAACCTTTAGAAAAGATTGGGAAAGTCTATATAGATCAGAATCTCATTTCAGTGTTACTCAACTCTCTAGTAGATTCCATCATTCATTTTTCTCACTGTTTCCAATGATTAAACCGGTCTTTTGCATTTTTCCACTCTCCTGCAATCTGCTTCTAAACTGTCTTCTGCATCTGGGTAGTTTTGAAAATGTGGTGGCAAGAAACGGGCCAAGTGCTGTCTATTGTGGTCTAACCAGGCGGCATCTGCAAATGTCTTAAGCATCAACACTTCCTGGATGCATTGACACCAACTTCTTCTTTTCCACTGGAGAATTCATGAAGCACCCAAGTTTACAAACACAGTCATCCCCAGAACAGGTACTGCTTAAATTTGAACCAAGAGAAAGGGTCAAAGAGCTGTTCTGTTCAAACCAATTAGCCTTTTCTTCCCATTAGCTCAGGAG